CACCCCTGGCAGGGCTCACCCCCTCCCCCCCCCCTGCGGCAAGAAGGGCCCGTTCGGCGGCGCCCCAGGGACGGTCTCCACGGGCCGCATCCGGCCCGCGGGCCGTAGTTTGGAGACCCCTGGTCTAGACAGATCTCTGATAGAAGGGTCTAGTGTGTCTCAGACACGTCATACTGATGTATTACTCAGTTCTGGTTCACTAGAATCAAGGTTGGGGGAAAAACATTGCCAACCACTTTTTGGCTTCTAAAGATGTTATTGCTACTTAATGGCACAAAGAGAACATTTGAAGTTGGTGTATACATCAAGAACCCTCCCCTTCCCCCAGTATATAGATGGGCATTAGTTATACCTATTCCTAAAATAAAGGAAAAGTGGGAGGGAAGATTGTGAGCTAGGGATATTAAATTTAGTTTAATAAACTAATCGACTAGTTGATGGATTTTCAATGGACTGTCTGGGGAGCCACAGCAGGGCTAGCTCCTGGCCCAGGAGGTAACCCTGCTGCGGCTCTGCCTTTTAAACGTATTAAAAGCTTGTCGGCTCTTAATACATTTAAAAGGCTAAAGCATGGGTGGGCGGGGGGCCCCAGTGGGAGCCACACCCAGTGGGTATCTCACCCAGTCCCAACTCACACCCAGTCCCACTGCCAACAGTGGTTTGGGGGGAATATGCTTTTAAGTTGGCTTCCCCCCAGCACTGGCTCCTGTTTCCTGCCCTCCCTTTCTCCTCCCACTTCCCCCTCCCCCCCACGCCCCTCCCACTGCCTCTGGTAGAGACAGCAAGGGGGCGTGTGATAAGCTTTTATTTATCAGTCAATTAGTTGCTTACATCCCTATTGTGAATGCTAACCTTTAATCCATAAACAGGTTATCTATCTATTTTTTTTTTCTCTTGTAGAGTAACCCTAGTGGCCCAGCGTGGTACTGGTGGCTATTAGCAGTGTTGCCATTAGAAAACAGGGCTCAGCTGGCTATACTTGCTATGACTTCCCTTAAAGATCGTCTTATTGCTATCAGACGTGTATTAATATTTGTTACACGCAAGAGATCCAGATGACATGAATTTACTTGTGAACAGGCACTGACAGAATATTGGTAGATACGGTTTTAAAATGCCTCATACAGAGATGAACAATTTCTAGTCATCTGACATTCGCTATTCTGGATGTTCACCAAACTTTGCACTCTCCTCTGTAATTAATAAGCACTCTGTGCCTGTCGTCCTGGTGAAATCTGAGCCTCTACGAAGTTGTGCTACAATTACAATGTAGTTGGTAGCTGTGGATAACTACTTTGAAGTACTATTCATAATCAAGAGTTGATGTATTTAGCCTGTGAGACAGAATTTAAAGTACTAGAACACCACACACAGCCTATGTGCAGTTTGGATTTACACTGAGCAGATGAAAAAATTCTCTGCAATGGATCCCAGAAGATGGATTTACCAGAATTTTTCCTAAAGTGATAAGCAAAAGGAAAACTGAACTTTCCTATGGAAAAAGAATGCACAAAGTACAAAGCTGATGGGATGGTCTCTTAATGAGTTGGTAGATTCTCTCTGCACTCTCATCTCCTGCTTGTTCAAGAAATATTGGTCTGTAAAAACAATTTTCAAGATGATGATTTTGGAGGTTGTCCAAGAGTAGTATTTATACAGTCAAGGCTGTAGTAGAGGGTGTTTGTCGAAAAGATAGTAGCTACTGAACAGTAATTTGGTAGCCGTAAGTAATCCCTTGTGTTGTGATTTGCATGTTGTAGTGGAATGAGTATATCAAATGTCAAGGAATGCATTTATTTTTAGAAAATTGAAGTAACTCCAGCTGGTCTATTATCATCATGCTGCGCGAGCGCGCGCGCACACACACACACACACACACACACACACACACACACACACACACACACACACACACACACACACACACACAAATTCCCTAAAACATGAAACTAGTCAAAGGCTGTTGTGAAATAACTATTTCACTCCAGGTACTGGGAAAACATACTATAATACTCAGCTGGTGTGTGTGTGTGTGTGTGTGTGTGTGTGTGTTAAAGTAAATTGGCTAGGATAAGCACTGGGGAAGAGTCCATTTCTCTTCCCACCTGCAAAAGATGTGCCAAGCTAATCTTACGTTGGATCAATATTTGTTTAAAACTTAAGGATTAAAAGTTAGTGTTATGATTTGTATCACAAGTGCTGCACGTGGTTAGAACCTAGGTCTGTGACAACGCCATGAAAGGAGGTCCAAACTGAACACTAACAAAAGGCAATTCTCAATGCAAGCTTAAGTAAGGTATCATCTTCATTTGTTTTGGTTTTTAATTGATACTGTTTTTGTTAGTATGTTACTTTGATAGCTGTTAAATATGTTGCTGATTAGTCAAACTGCTTAATTTTCTAAATAGCCACTGAAATAATCAACAGTGTTACTAATTTAATGGCATAGTTTCATATAAATAGAAATAATTTTACCAACAGGAAAAGTTAACCAGAATATGTGTGCTCGAAGCATAGCAAGTTGCTTTTAGAGGCACTTGTTCATGTGCAATGCTCTGGTGTCTTAACTAAATGTTTTAAGTGCCTAGTTCCTAGTTTGCTTTAAATCTCTCTCCCCGCTCCCCCCCCTTTGGTCTGTGAAGATATTAAAAATTTGCACATGAGTTCTGGAAGAAAACTGCATACACAAATGCATTAAGACATATTAACTGCCTTCTTGGATACTGTAATTACCACCTGTGTGGTCTAGGAAAGTAAAGTATCTAGTGTAGTGGTTTTCAAGGCTTTTTCACTTGAGTTCACCTACAGAACTTTGAAAGGACGTGGAAATCTAGACAGACATAGTCTGTTGAAAACCAGTGATCTAGGTAACTTTTCTTTCAGCAAACCATTACCAGAAGTAGTTTCTATGATCTGCTCTGAATGTACTGTAATTGCCTCTACCTTGAACACACCTTTTATAGTTAAATATTGATTTTTGTAACTATCCTTTGAATTGTGAAAGTGCATAACTTACAACCAATGATGATGTAATTTCCACAATAGCCTTGCTGCAAGTTCTGCTACCATCATAAGAGTACTAAAAGTAAAAGCTGTATGAGATTGAAGGGATGGAGAAGGCACCAGAGCCACAAAGGTGTGTTTAAAAAAAAAAAAAAAAAAAAAAAAGCTTGAAGCCTTTTGGGGTGCACCCTCCTCCCCCATCCTTGCATTAAGAACTCTTTTATTTCATCCAAGTATTGTGTGTTTTTTTTTTTTTTTTTTTTTTTTTTTTTTCTGGTAAACCCATGCTAGACTACCAGCACTTTAGGTAGCTCACCTTCTTAATCTTGTAACCCAACTGATTTTCAGCTGCAAAAATGAATTCTTTGAGCTTTCATGTAGGGCGGTTTTGGGGTTCCCACCCCCACCCCCCCACTTGCCACTCTTACCATTGTCTTCCGTTCTGTCTTGGTCTTGCCCTTCTCATTAGTATCTCTTTCCTTGTCTACTCATGCATTTGAGATTTAATGTGTTGGTTGCAAGGGGACACTGACAGAATCATACAGTCTTAGGCCCTGAGCTGTATTCAATCTTACTAATACACATACCCTTTAAGAACTGAAATGTTAGTAGCTGTTGTCTTGATTCTCATTACTGAAGGCAATGACTTAAGATGTCTGTTCTTTAAGTATTTTGACTAGAGATGTTAAACTTTATTTTGTAAACATGTAACTGCTGAATTTTTTTTTAAAGCAGTTACACACTTACATGATGGAGGGCAAAACGGAGCTGGTATGCGTGGGGAACCAGCTTTTAAGCTGGCTCTCCATGCATGCCAGCTCCTGTGGAACCATCTGCTCCCCCATCCTAACTTGAGGCATGTACTGCCCCCCCGATACAGAGGCAGCAAGGGGAGAGGGGAGGTGCATGTAACAATTAGGTTTAACTAGCGAGCCAAGGCTTAGTGGTTAATTGTGTAAATGAGTACATGTTAACAACCCTAAGTGATACTATGAAACAAAGTGTAACCTTTTTCATACATTGCAGAACAGCAATAAGGATGACAAGTAATATTGTTTTGGGTTGTTTTAATTCTTTCAAACTATTTCTAGCACAGTGAGGTCCTGCTCCATCCATGACTGAGGCTCATGGGTGCTATGTTAATTTAAACTAATGTTTTTCACTTTTAAGCGACTCTCATTTTTGATAAATATTATGAAATAGTATATGTATGCAAATGTTAAACCTGCAACCCAAACTCACTATTTCTTCCAAAACATCAAATATTGGATCATATAGCAAATTTAAAGAGAAACCCTATTCTTGGTTACTTAGTCTCAAGGGGTACAGTGCATGCTTTATTCTAACCAAGTTTTTCAGTTGTGGCTTATGCAGCTGAGAATAGTAAGTAGATGAGAGAACCAATTGCCTGTTCTCTAGATCACAGGCAAATGTCCATATTCCAGCTATCTTACATCTTTACCGTAGAGACAAGAACAAAGTACAGTTTTAAAACTGAGCTTAGCAGCTGAAAGACAAATGTTTCACTTCCCTTTAACACACTACATTTTTCATGCTTACTTCTTAGCCTACCCAATGTTACAGGAAAGCCTCCACTTCAGAGAGATTCTTTATAAATCTTAAAGAAGCAAACATGCCCAGACCTTGTTTTTCACCTTGTGGGTCACCTCTAAAGACTTCAAAAATAGCTTTTTAAACTTCACCTTTCATCTTTCAAGAAGCATATAAATTAGTTTGCCATCAAGGCCTTAACTACTGTATTTGAACATGTCCAGACTGTTTCATCCATTCCTTTGAACTTCTAACGTGCCGATCAGTTTCTTCCTGTGCTCCTTTCTATGTTCCAGTCCATTTAGAAACTGAAATATAAAGCTATTGTTCAAGAAGCTGTAAACTTTGTTCATATTAAATTTCACAGTGGTGGAATTGGTACTTGGTAGCGCCTTAAACTTGCAGTCGTGAAATGATTGTATCAATAACAATCTCATCTGGAGCTTGTGACCAGATTAAAACAAGTATGTGTAATGTAGATAAACTTGAAACAATTTTTTTTACTGTTTTGAATCTACTTATGGAACTGTATGTACATATGTACAAATATAAATTAAACTGCACCATTTTGTATTTAGTAAATTCAGGACAAATCCATGTTCTAACCACATTTGGCACTTGTTGCACAAGCAAAGCCAAACTTTTTTAAAAGATTGTGATGTTCATTTCATGTGTATTTCCAATGTTCATGGGAAATGTATTTAATTTATGTGACATTTTGAATAAACAGATCACATTCAGAAGTGTCTTTTTTTTTAAACAATCCATTGTATGTGAAATGTCAAGATTAATTGGAAGTTAAATTTAAGTGTGCTGGTGTGTATGTATTGCTGTTGGTTTGGGCTTAGGGGACTGTAGGTGCTTGTGATCTGCTCCTTGTATTTTTAAACACCTTAATTTATCTGTAAATCTGTCTTGGTGCAAACCACTCTCACAACTCTTGTGTGTCTTTCCAAGAATGCTACATTAATATGACTAGAGCTCATGGGTGCTACGTGGAGTAGGGACTGGAATTTGTATTTAATTGGCGTTAACAAATTGCACTCTTTGTAATTTCCAGGAGCTCTTATAGATCACAAGTGAAAGAGGATTGTGGGAGAATGTATTGCACTTCCTACATAAAAGGTACTCCTGTGTTCTTCCTTTTTTCTCTTCCTCTTTGCAGTCTTTTCTGGCACTTAAACACCTCCTTCCCCCCCCCCCCCCCCCCAGTTGATCCTTCATGAGATCTGTCTTACAGCTGTCAGTCTATTTCTATGGAGAAAGAATTAACTGTGAAATTTGTGAATAGGAAGAAGCAGAACTGTTGGGATGTGAGGGTAGTAAAGACCAGGAGAGACTAATACATTGTTGTTGTGTTTTTTAAATTGTGGGGTGATAAAGCAAGGATATGGATGAAGGCTATGTAATTACCTTCCTCTGTTTCAGAAGTTCCCACATAGGGAGCATGGATTCATTTTTAAACCTGACAGGTTTATAATTAAAATCTTTCTAGATTCATTCCCCCCCTCAAACATTGAACTAGTTTATTGACTTTAACATTCATAGTTGAGACACTGCAGCCACCCACTCCTATTTCAAACTAAATAGATGTACCTTATAAAATGTCAGGATGTATTCTCTGCTCAGAACTGCCTTTTGTTTTTCTGCCTACCCACTGTTAACCCTCAAAACTGTATTTATATATTTTAAGAGGGAAAATGTTGACTGATTTTTGTAGACTAGCTCAGTGGCTCTTGCCATGGAGGAAAGTGTCAGACATGGAAGCTGCCTAGAAATAAATATTCTGGGTTTTTTTTGTTTTTTGTTTTAAATGAAATGGGCTGACTTCAGCCATTTTTGTGTTTCCCTTCTATAGGTTTTCTTTGACTACTTGAGCAGTTGAGCTTCAGTTGTGGTAGTGCTCTGGTAGAGTGAAAGTGAAGATCACCTATTCAAGTAATTATCTATATAAGTACATTAATAATGCTGCTTTACCACACTAAAGAAGATTTCCATTAGCTCTCCAAATTCCTGGCACAGAGGCAATTAAATGAGCCAGAGAAGGATCTGTGACTGCACTTGTCACAGCTAACACCATACACACAACTACTTTGAGTATAATGGGAGAGAGGAAAGCTGCACACTACAAATAAATGTTTCAGTAGCAAGAGGTTTTTCTTGCAGTCTTTTTTTGTTCGTTTTTTGTTTTGTTTTTGTTCCCCCCCTAAGACCATTGTATGGCAGAGAAAGGAAAAGCTGTGTCTGTGTGAATGCTCCTTCTTCTGTTCCATCACCAAAATTGTTGACTTTTGGTGAAAACTGGCAAGAGTAGGCCAGGCCTAAGAGTTCTTTCAATCTTACAGGATACCTCCCAGACTGAAAACTGTAATGGTGGCTAAATGTTGTTCTGCTGGGGACCTTCACTCAGTCAGAAGTAGAAATGCTGCCATCTTATCTGTGGGCAATTGTTACTGTCCAACAGAGCTTACATTTTTGAACTGGAGTGCTGAAAACTCACTGCTGCTCACTACGACTCTATGGAGTGTTTAAAAAAAAAAAACCAAATTCTGATGAAATTAGAATAACAAATGTGAGACTATTACAATTGGTGCACAGTGAAAGGCAATTTGAGTAAACTAGTTGTGAATAACTGCTCTCAACAGCAATGTTTTTACATTCATGGAACAATTTCTTCATACAGTACTAACTGCTGGGATGTGACTTTTTTTATTGACCCTTTTATATGCTGTGGCTTATCTCTAAATCAAAATTCACTCACTGAGACTATGTTCTGGCACTTTGTTCTCTGATAGAGCTTGATTAATGAAACAAACATTTTAGAGGGGAAAATAATTTCACATTTAAATGTGATTCATCCTGCATTTGTTCAGACCCATAGCAACATCATCCTAAAGGAGTTGCATTATCTGAGCCTGGCTGAGAGGCTGGGGCCAAGAACCAATGCAGCAGAGATGGTTTGAGAGGTAAATCTTGTATCCTCCTGTGGAGCCACTCCTGAATGCGTGTGGGGGGAGGGGAGCAAACAAATAAAGGCAAGGAAATCTTTGAGGTTCTTCTGTCTAGGAGCTTTTTATGAAACTGTGCAGCCTATTCCTAGGGGAAGAAATGCTGATTAGCTAATTTAGACTTTTCAGTAATGCATTAAGTACATAGTAATGGGGTTTGCCTTCATGCGAAGCACCCACATTTTCATTTAAATTCTCCTCAGGCTTTTCAGTATTTAGCATTAGTCCTCATTTGCAGATTAATGTTGGTTTAAGAACTGCCACAAGTAGGCAAGCCATTATTTTGTATCATGACAGTGAACTACGGGGGAGAGTCTTCATGAAACCTTAACTGAGCTGGGAATAGTTCAAGGAACAGGCATGGTATGTGGGAGTGCAAAAGTTCATTTTAAGCATATACAGAACCAGAGATGTTGTCTGTGCACCTTAGTATGAGGGGGTCACATGAACACCCCCTCTCCCCACCCCCCCAGATTTCTGCTTGGCTTGGCAGCAGAGGAGAGGGAAAGGACATGCTCAACCCCTTTCCCTTGAAGCTGAGCCCAGGCAAAGAGCAGAAGGAGAGGGACTAGTCACTTTCCATGCCTGCCACTTTGGGTTTCTGTTCTGTGCAGTGTGGTGTCTGCTTGTGAGGCCAGATGGGAAGATGGCAATGCCAGGCCACCACCACCCTAGGTGCTGTTTCTGGGGACAGGGACCAAGCAAGCAGGAGTACTATCTCCATGTTTCCAGCTCACTTAGCTCCTGTCCCTGGCAGCCAGACCGGAGGGAGGAGGGAGAAGAGTACTGCCACCATCTCCCTAGCCAGGCTTTCTGCATGGCTTGCACAGAACAATGACCTGGAGCAGCCAATGTCAGCAGCTGTGAGAAGCAGCTTTATCTTGTTCCTGCCTTTGCCCCCCTGCAAGGGATGGAGGCCTTGCCTTTGGGAGGGAGGTACAGTGGGAGGAAAAACAGCCTTCTCCCTATAGGTAACTGGTGTGGCAGTGAGAGCGAGGCACCCATGAGAGTGTGGCAGCCTGGGTCAAGTGAAGGGCAGGGAGGGTCACTGAGTGGAGAAGTGGGGTGCACACATGTCCTCCCCTTTAGATTCCCCTCTTCTCCCTCCCCCCAGTATCAGGAGGCAGGAATTGTCTATGCTGACGTGTGATTGTACAATAGCCACAGGAATTGCCGTAGAGCTCTGTCCAGTATAATATCCTGTCTCTGACAGTGGCTTCTACCTGATGCTTCAGAGGAAGGTTGAAGAAACCTTTGGCAATAAAGAATAATCTGCATAAAAGCACCTTTTGAACCCCTCAATTAGCAGCTGGTTTGTGCCCTAAAAAATGAGCGTTGCTTGCCCCTGTAAACTTCTGGATGTGTTTAGGTTTAAAAAAAAAAATCCAATTGTAAGAATATCCAATCCTTTTCTGAAATGTTTGTGCCTCCATGATCCCCATATAGCAATGAGTTCTGCAAGTTAATTAGGCACTGCATAAATTGATGAACATTAAATATGCTGCTTTTCAGTGTCTTAGAATATCTGTTCTTTTAGAAGAGAATACAGGTACATCGAAATGCCTGTTCTACTTCTCTATGCCATTCAATGCCCTCTAAACCATTATTATAGTCTTCCTATTTATCAGATATTTCACTCGAGTCATAAACAATTTTCTATTCCTCTGCTTTTTGTTGCCTGTCTTTGAACTCCTATTTTACTGCTATGCCTCCTCTTTTTTTCTTTTTTTAAAGATCACAGTATTTCAAATGAGGTCATACTGGACTGGTTTATGTAATAGCATTATAGTACTTTCCATCCTGTTAGAATGCATTAATAACATTCTGTTTGGTTTTTATTTTTTGACTGGTGCTAGACTGGATTTATCTGAATTTCTGACCCTTTGCTAGGACCCTTTGTCTTGCAGGGGTGGCTCTTTAAGGAGGGCATTGCCTTCCAGGCTATCAAACAAGTAATTTTTGTTAACAATGATGGTAATTGACTCAGTGTGTGTCTGGCCACATTGGAATGCCATCAGCCTCCATAGATTGCTAAAACAAATCAAAACATCCTAGATTAAAGTAAATAATGCTACCTTAGAGGGGAGAACTTGTGCTAAGACACAGATACTGTTGAGGTCCTTCTGATTGGAAGAGATCTTCTGTAAATCCCTCTTTCACTGCTTAGCCTGAATTTAAAACAAAAAAACTAGCTGCCTGTGAATATGCAGCTGCTTCTTTCAGTTAATATATGCCTGTAGCTGCATTTTTACATAAGTGCTTAGTGCTGAAAAGCCTCACTACTGGAATCCAGGGGTTAAATATTTCTTAATTCTAGCATGAGTCATTTGTCCCTGCTTTGGAGTCGGTCTGCTTGCAATCACGTATTAGATTGGAGTGGTTCCTGGAACAGGAGTTCCCTGCTCACGTCTGACATGAACAAGCTCAGGGAGAAATGAAGAAACTGTTACAGTACAGCAAATAATAACACGTAGGGGCCCTCTGCTTACAAAAAAAGAAAAAGGGACGCCAGCTTGCTTATTCAGGATTATCTCAAGACTTCTTGTTCCCATCCACCCTTTTTGGAAGGTGGGGCAAAGTTTTGGGTACATTGTGTCTGAGGGTTGAAGGTCAGGTATGCTTAAGTACTATATTGAAAAGCGAGGAGGAGGAGCAGGCAGTCCCTTATACAGGTCAGTGGGCAAGGTTTTTACAGTTGTGCTGGTTTAAGCTCACAATACGAACTATGAGGT